CACCGTGTTTTCCAACCTTCTGCTTTCCAGGACCTCCAGCCCCCAGCCGTGAAAACCACTGATCGACTTTCGGCTTTGCACCCACTTGTGAAAGAGATGTACTCCTGCTCTGGAGTGTGTTACTGAATATGTTAAATCTGTAATGAAATCCTTCTTCTAATCATGTAGTTATTAAAAATTTTTTTAAAAAAAAAACCTAAAGCTATACAAAAAAAAAAAAAAAAGTAAGGTCCAGAGGGATGAAGAAAGACACACCAAATCAACTTCTGGTCACAACACATATCTAGTGTTAGTGAATATGTTAAAGCTGTAATGAAATCCTTCTTCTAATCATGTAGTTATTAAAAATTTTTTTAAAAAAAAAACCTAAAGCTATACAAAAAAAAAAAAAAAAGTAAGGTCCAGAGGGATGAAGAAAGACACACCAAATCAACTTCTGGTCACAACACATATCTATGCAGAGGTGTACACTCATGCACAAACACATGTACACACAAACACCACAAAACAACACACAATGCAAACACACATACATGCATGCACACACATGCAAGTACATACAAAATTTTAATTCTATATCTATGGTTTCCAAATATAGTTATGGAGGAAATCACCTTGGCAACTGCATAGATGCCCATACCAATGCACCATGCCAGTCTGAGTTAGCCCAAGGTGTTTTCCATTCTCTCTCTATCCCTCCCCCTCAACTTCTGTTTATAAGATGCCTTGGTAGTACCACTCCTTTTCTACTCCTAAACGTCCTCACATTGCCTCAGTTGTAAAAGTGTCAAATTACTAATAATTGACCAAGAAGCCTGTTTAACCTGTACCTTTTTCCCTCCCAGTGGGATCCAACCAAGAGAATGGGTGGAATTTGGAAAAATCCATCACTGGAAGACATGCAGTTTCACTCGCTGACATCTGAAAGCTTCAAACAGTGGAGCATGCTCATGAGGAGGCCCTGAAAGCAGAACCTCGCCCTCACCCCACAACCACCTCCAAGGCTGTGCTGCCAACAGGAGCTGGCTGGTTATTTCATCTTCTCTCTTACACTGCTTTACCTCGTCAGTTCTAAATGAAATTAGAAGATTAAAATATTTGAAAGATAGCATGTCAATAGCATTGCCAAGAAAAATTTAATGAATCAAAATAACAGGCGGGTTAGCCAAAATAAAAAATGCATAAGTCATGGGTGTCATGTAAAAGTTCTGGAATGTCTGAGGTTTTCTTACCGTATGAAATTTTGGTTTCCTGTAGGATATCTCTCTGGCTTTTCAGCATTCTCATAATTTTCTTTGGCTACATCTAGATTTCTTTTAAAAACATGTGTGTGTTGGTTGCAGTGATTACTTCCTCTTTTCACAGAAACAAGTCAACAGTCAAACTAAATGTTTTCAAAACGTGTTCAGAAATGGGGAGAATTTGAGATATCTTAAGACACTTATAGGACTGTGAGCCACAAATAACATCAAGGCATTAACGGGGATAGGGAACTACACTTATAAACTAAGCAATATTAAATTCAGCAAGAAAATGGATAAAACTAATTTGAATTCTTAGAAATACATCAATTTTTTTTACTTTATTGGCTGTGATAAATAATATGTAATTTTCTGGGAAACAAAAGATTATCATTTTGAGATATAGCCTGTCACTTAACATCTATTTTCTGAGATGTTAAGAAAAATGCTACTGATGGGGCTGGAGAGATGGCTCAGCAGTTAAGAACACTGACTGTTCTTGCAGAAGACCCAGGTTTGAATCCCAGCACCCACATGGCAGATAACAGCTATCCATAACTCCAGTTCCAGGGGATCCAACAGCCTCTTCTGTCTTCCATGGGCATTGCATGGTGCGAGTGCACTTAACTACATGCAGGCAATACATGCATACACATAAAATAAAATATTTTAAAAAATGATAATTTTTTTAAAAAAAGAAACATTTCAAAGGAAAATAAGCTTGAACATCAATCAATAACAACAATAGATCATCAGGTAGGGTGGTCACTTGAGAAGTGGAGGCAAGGATCTTATGATTATATATGATGAATAAGCTGCATATATTATATACATAATTTATTATATTACATATCATATATGAACTCTCCAACATCTTCATAGAAAGGGATATTAAAAAGAGAAAAAGCCAATACTTAAGTAGATGTGAACATAAAATTCATCTAGCTTGAGTAGATATAAATAGATATTTCTCAAAAGAAGACCTATAGACAGCCAATAGATATGTGAAAAAAGGGCAACATAACTACTCATCAGAAAACACAAATTAAGCCACTTTATACCTATTAGAATGGATGTTATTAAGAGAAGAAAGAAGCGGTGAGGAGTGGGAGAAAAGGGGATGTGTAGAAACAGAGACAGGAAGGTAGTAACCAAGCTAGGGATAGAAGGGAGGATAGAAAATCAGTCAAAGGGTATAGTAAAGCCAAATGTGTTGGCACTCTGGAGGCAGAGGCAAGTGGATCTCTGTGGAAATCGGGGCCAGACTGGTCTACATAGTGAGTTCCAAGTCAGCTAGGGCTGCAAGAAGACCCTGTCCCAAACAACAAAAGGGAGGGTTAATACTAAACCAGTTATGCAAGAGGAATAAGTTCTGCTAATAAACCTAGACTATAGTCAATAATAACATTGTATCCTTAAAAGCTGACAAGAAAAAAGAGAAAAATTGCCAATAGATTTCAAATGCTCTAACCACAAAAATAAATACTGTACGAGGTGATTGACATGTTTACTGGCTTTATCAGCAAACAATGTGTGCATATATCAAACTATCATGTTGCATATCTTAAAAATAGTTTTTTATTTAATCAGAAAAAAAAAAGAAGTTAGGGCTGGAGATACAGCTCAGTGGCTAAGAGCACATGCTTTTTTTCCAGGGGATCTGGGTTTGGTTCCCAGTACCAACATATACCATATTCTATTGTGTATACATTATTTCTGTTCTCAGTTGTCAGTGTGAGCTATAAGATCATCAATAACAGAAATTAGATTAAAGCAATAACTTGTGAATTTCTGAAATCCCTTATATAGTAAAAATTATATCTCAAAAATTAAAAATATAGAATTCAGCATTTGGAAGTATTTTAAGTATACTTAATACAAAATTATTAATGGAAATTCAGGTCCTTCACATTGTGTGGGCTGTAAATATCCAGAAAATGTTTAGAGATTGATGCTTCTCAAGTAAATGATTGGCAATGTCTTTTTAAATATACTTTTAATATAATTAAGTACCATTTTAATTTGGTCAAGCAATTGTAGAGTAAAACGATGAAGTGGTTAAACAATGTGAAGATCATGTCTAAAGTCTAAACAAATGTTCAGTCATCCTTATGTGAGCACACCATAAAGAAAACAGAAAGGCTATATCAAACTGGTTAGATGTATTCTGCATTCATGATTTACTCACTGAAACGTCATTCATGGCTTTCTTACTGATTCTTACAGAGTGTACATATTTCTTTTTAATTTTTCCCTTTTATGTTTCCCAAGATCACAATTCACATAAAATACCCATTGAAGCAGACAAAAAAGGGAAACAAATGTTTCAGAGCTCTTTGGGGATTTAAATAAGTTTTTACAATAAAACCTTGATTATTCAACGAAGACAGGAGAGCTTCAAGATAGTTATAAAGTGTCAAAGAAAGATGCTGAACTTGGCAGTGTTAATGCAGTGGGTTTTCAACCCTAGAACCTAAGTCAAGTACCAAGCCAGAAAGAGGCCAGACAGGAACTGGACCTGCCCACAGTGGGGTGGCAGGGCAAAAAAGGAACACTTGGAAAAGATGTGCAAGGTTGTGGTTTCCTGATAAATCAAGATGACACGGACAGTCCCAGGGCTTGCTTCGTTATATTATTGTGAAACTTGGACTCAAACAGAATGAGGCAAACCCACAAGTTAAAGTGTTTTAAAAGTGATTTAATAACCACTTTGAACAGAACACCCTTTCAGTCAGCATGACTGAAACTTTAATCAACAAACACCAGGGAAAGTAATAAATGCTCTGTTAACAAGTAGTATCAAGGTGAGGGTTGGCCTAGAGCATACTGCTCAGAGAAAGATGCTTTCTTTCTTTAATTAGGAAACCTGGTGGTTGTGTTTTGTGACACAGTGTTCTTTAGAAAATCCGTAGAAATTTGGCCCCCGGTGGAGGATTTCTAAGGGTTGCAGAAGATAACATAAAGCTATTTGAGCTCTTTTTTAAAAAAAATCAAAGGTATTAATTTTTTATTTCCTCATTTGTTTCCCCAAGTTCAGGGATCCTGGTGTCTCCATCTCCCTAGCACTGGGATTACACGCATGCACCACCATGAATGACTTTTCACCTGGATGCTGGGAATCAAACCCAGATCCTCATGCTTGTGCAGCAAGTACTTTATTGACTGAGATATCTCCCCAAACCTTATTTATTTTGTATGACAAATATTCATGATGTGCCTGTAGTATAATGACAACATTCTTGCTACTGAGGATATAATTAACAAGATACAAGAAGCGACTTTCTTATAAGGTCCTTATCTTTTACCCTTTTCTTCCATCATTTCGTAGAGAGGCAAGGCAAGTTGGGTAGAGATCAATTATATCATTCGTGGGTGGAGGACAAGGTTCAGTTTTGATGAAACCTTCTGGCCATCTCCAGATGATCTCAGGACAGATCAAGGACATATAGCTCTGAGGTACCCTTGTCAGGGGTACCTGACACACAGGGGAAATGTAGAGCATCTGGTCAACCTGATTCCTGCACCAGCAGTCATGGCTAGGATTTCCAGATCCTGGTTAGGGCAACAAAGCACCGGGTTATCGTGTTCAGGAACCCCATGATAAACACATTCCAAGTCTATTACAAACCTTAAATAATGGGCCTTTAGTACAAAAGCCCTAAATATTTAAAAATCAGTACAGGCCTGCCAAAATGACTCAGCAGGTCAAAGTATTTGCTGCCAAGCATGATAACCTGAGTTCAGTGCCCAGAACCCACAGTAGAAGGAGAAAACTGACTCCCAAAGACTGTCCTTTCACCTCCTGCACTTACACACATCATCATGCGTGCACAAATGTGTGCATGCCCATATTCACACTCACAATAATAAATTAAATTAAACTTTTAAAATAAAATAAAACTCAGTAGAGTCTCCTTTTACATTCTATCCTTCCTCAATAAATGACAATACTGTTCTAACCATTTGATGTGTTTAATATCTATCTGCCATTAAAAGAATCTTAGATATAAGAAAACAAGTTTAATTTGGAGTGAATTAATTTTAAATGAGTTAAAACATACATAAATTTTGAAAATATTAATGAACAAAACACAAATATACTTTAGTGTCCTTTATGTGTGATTAGGAGAACTTGCACGCCAGGCATGACACCTCATAGGAAGGAAGGAAGAAAGCCCTTCACACTGCTCAAGTGCTTAAGATCATGACCAGATGATTATGTTAGTGTCCTTTTTGTTTCCTTGCAAGTTCTTCATTTACTGCTCCATTCCCTCTTAGTTAGCTGTGGAATAGTAGCTTGATGAATTCTCTGCTATTTTTTAGTAAGCCTAGAAACAAGAGCTAGAGATAGGGAGCTGGGAGGAGAGGTGATGGAGAGAATGAAATCCTTAGAATCCTTTCCAAACGTAAGCTGGTGATAACCAGCTTTCTTTTCAGACATCAGTTATGTCTGTCCTCCTTTGCCACCAAAACAGAAACAGAAATGTCTTTATTAATCATCCTAAGGGATTTTCAACATGCTGTAGCTGACTGGAACCTGAACACAGATGACAATGGAATAGGGTTGATTCAGGAACAAGTACCTTTGTTTTACATCAAATTCTGTTCTTCAGTAGAAATGAATCAAAGTGAATCAGACAAATATGAGTTGATTTTCATAAAGGCTCTGGTGTTAGGCGTATCTGTCCTGTGTTCCATACTGACAGCACTTGGAGCTATTTTCCAGAATACTTAGAATGTAATGATAACAAGACTTGTTTTAGTAGTGTTAATATTGCTGCCCACTTACCACCCCTTACCCACTCTTCCATCTCTATTTCCATAGGATAATCAGGAAAACAGATTGCAACACTA